TGATTCTCATTTATGTAAGTTAAAGGCTGACATCTAACCATGTTGACCCTCCTTTTTATATGTAAGTAGCCAGTTTATGATGCATGTGTGTGTATATGTGTATACATATATAATGAGGAAGGACATAGACCAAGACAATAGGGCTTCCCTCATAGAGTTCCAGTTCAAGGGTCTTAGCAGGCAGTTTTCCTTACCTATCACAGCAGGAAGATCAAGTAGTTCAAAGTCATCCTTGGCAAAATAAGTTGAAGAACAGCACTGGACATATGAGGCCTTTTCTCAAAAATAAAGTTACATACAAACCCAACACAAATGCTGGCTCAACTGCTATCTATCTCTGCAAGAGAGTGCCTACAGATCCACCTCTTCATCACAGGCAATCGGCCCTGGGACTGAAGCCCACTGACACTTACGTGTGACCAAAAGCACACTGAATAATTATTCCTCCTACCTTCAGGATATATTTGACTCACCAGCTTCTGCCTCCCATCCTACACCACACAATGTCACTTTCTGGCTTTTTATAGTTCAACAAGGCCATGAGTCTAGTCCACGGGAGCTGACCCTGAAGGTGATGTGTCATTTCCAAACCAAAGCATGTGTGGGTGCAGGGACTTCCACAGCTTTTTGGCTCCCCTTGTGACCAGCTATTGTCAGGTTTGTAGCTATGAGGCTAGGGAACAATGGAAGCAGATCCCCAGCCAACCTGCACTGCACGGGCATGAGTCAGAATGAAACTACAGGCAATGCCTACAGACTCTGGCAGTGTTAATACAACACAGCCCACCTAACCTACCCTAAGAGACAAAAGTCACATTTTTCTCGGGCTGTGAAATGCCATATTCTAAGTCTCTCAACCTGAGTTTGATCCCCAGAATATAGTAGTGGAAAAAACTGGCGCCTGGAAATTGTCCTCCACTGCAGCAAACAAGTACTGGGAAGAGGACAGAAACAGATTTGTGAACAGATTTGTGAAGTGCTACCCTGTGTATGACCGAGCCCTGATCCCACAGCAGCCACTGCTGCCTACAGTGGGCCTGCATAAGACAGTCTATCAACAGTCAGTAAGAGTGAGCCCATGTGACGACCCCTTCCTGGCAAAACTGTAAGCTACGGATGGATTGGATTCAAGGTATGCTGGCTAGTTTTATGTCACCATAACACAAGAGTCAGCTGAGAGTAGGCAGCCTCAGCTGAGAAAATGCCTCCATAAGATTGGCTGTAGGCAAGTCTGTAGGACATATTAGTGATTGATGGGGGAGGGCACAGCCCACTGTGGGTGAGGCCACCCCTAGGCTGGTGGTCTGTAAGTAGGCTGAACAAGCCATAAAGAGCATGCCAGTAAACAGCACTCCTCCACAGCCTCTGTATCCATTTCTGCTTCCAGATTCCTCCTCCACAGCCTCTGTATCAGTTTCTGCTTCCAGGTTTCTGCCCTATTTGAGTTCCTGCCCTAACTCCCTTCAGTGATGAACTATGATGTAAACCAGTAAGCCATATAAACCCTTTCCTCGATAGGAGCCCCACAAGGACCAAACATATCTGGGCACAGGGGTTTTTTCTGAAACTGTTTCTCCAACCAAGGACCATGTATGGATATAACCTAGAACCTTTACTCGGACGAAGCTCATGGTAGCTCAATAACCAATTGGTTTCCCATAGTAAGGGGAACAGAGACTATCTCTGACAGGAACTCAATGGCAGGCTCTTTGACTTCCCACCCCCCCAGAGGAGCAGTTCTGCTAGGCCACAAAGGGGACTTCGCAGCCAGCCCTGAAGATACCTGATAAAACAGGGCCAGATGAAAGGGGAGGAGGTCCTCCCCATTCCGTGGACTTGGAAAGGGGCAGGGAGGAGATGAGGGAGGGAGGGTGGGATTGGGAGGGAATAAGGGGGCGGGATACAGCTGGGATACAGAGTTAATAAAATGTAACTAATAATAACAAACAATAAAAAAATAAAAAAATAAATAGAAATAAATAAACCCTTTCCTCCCTGGTTTGCTTCTGGTCGAGGTGTTTCATCACAGCAATAGTAAGGTAAGGGAGGCTACCCCCTTCAGAGTCAGTATAGGACACACCCAGACAAAGGAGACTCATTACCCTAGAGGGGCAAGCGATGAGGGAGGCTGCAAAGGCAGACAACAGCAGCAGGACCAAGCAACTCTATTTTTGCAGGAGTGGGTTATTAAGGAGAAAAAGGGGGAGTCTGTGCTAGGGTGAGTTGATAAATCCTGATTGGACATGTTAGCCAAATAATTAATTTTGCTTGTTGGGCCTTGATGTTTTGTCCCAGGAATGGGTCAGTTGTCAAATAAGGGAGTGGACATTGGGAACTGGCTTTAGGAATGTCATCTAAAGGTTTTTAACGAGGAAGGGGAAAAGGAGCCAAAACTTTCAGTGCCATGTTTGCAATGCTCAGGCCTGCTAGAGACCTTCAAGTAACCCTAAGACACTAGGGGAGGGGCAGATGTGAATTACAAAACAAAACAGACACAAACCTGGGAAAGGGACTTGTGGGGTGTGCTGGGGTGGGAGGGAGACAAGGTGAGACAGAAATCAGAATGCACTACATACATGCAGAAAACTGTCAGAACAAGTTTAATTGTTAAGTAAAATGTAACTCTTACCCCAAAAGCTCATAAGACCGTATCTTTTACTGGTTTCTGTGACAACCACTCCCACTTTTCTGCCAACCTCTCTGCCTAATGGGCTTGTTTTTTGTTTTGTTTTGTTTTGTTTTTGTTCAGGGGTGGTATACGGCATCTGCTTACTGTGTCCCAGTATGTGTACCTGTGTACAGGTGGAGGCTGGAGGAGAACATAAGTGTCCTGCTCTGTCACACTCACCTTCCAAGCAGGGTCTCCCACTGCACCTGGAGTTGGCTGCCAGGCAATTCTCCCATCTCTCCCCAACATCACTACAGCAACAGGCATACACAGCCACACCCAGCTGGTTTTTCGTTTTTGTTTTTTCTTGGTATGAGGATCTGAATTCAGGTCCCCAAGCTTGGGCAATTAGTGCACTTATCTACTGAGCCGTGTCCCCAGCCTCACGAGACCACGCCCTCAGCTGGGCTCTCTGCCCTCAGCCTGTGTTTGTTCACCATCACATTTCTCCATGCAGCTCGCCCACTTCTGACCAACCAGCTTAGCCACTACAAGGCATCATCCCAAAACACTGATGGTTAACTGCCAGTGAGTGGACCCTGCAGACCACATTCCCTCCCCACTCCCCAACCAAATTAACTTAGTCTAAGTGACCCAGCCCATCCTCATTCAACCACGAAGTACTAGCAGTTTACACAGCTTCAACAGCGTGCGTGTAGAGTAGAGGTTACTCTCTGGTGAGGACATTGTTTTTATTTATGCAGCGCTTACTACAGTTACTCTTGAGTCAATTTGATTGGATCTGGGATCAATTAAAAGACACATCTCTAGTTGGGTCCCCGAGAGTATTTCCAGGAAGGACTAAGGGGGTTGAACAGTTAGGCACCTCTGGTAGCAGCCCTGCCAGCCTTTGTTCCCTGTTGGTGAATGCCTCTACTCTGCTGCTGCCATCAGCAGTCAACCTTCACTGGAGACAGACCCTGACGTCCTCAGCCTTCCAATGCCCACTGACTACCAGCAGCTCTCCAGGAATCCTCCAGGCCTTTCTTTGCTGAAGCATCCAGACTTGGGGCACTTGTCTCAGACTCTGCAGGGTATAGGCAGCCACAGGTGAACTAAGCAGTCTGTATTATACAAGTAAGCCAATCTAATAACTTATTCATTCCAAGAATCCTGTACCTCTAGAGAACCTGAATACAACTGAATACTAAAAAATAAAAATTACTTCAAGCTTTGGAAAAGCCCTCGTGTCAGGAGTGGCTAGAAAGCTCCAGCTCAAAGAAAATCAGTTCAGTCCAGATAAAGAAAGCCTCAGAAAGAACCCAGCCAGGCAGCTCTTCAAACAACCCAGGAGCTAGGATATGTTTTTCTGGGTGCCTTCCTCTAAAAAAACAAACCAAAACAAAACAAAAACCTTGTATTACAGCTTTTTCATTGTGTGTGTACATTAATGTGTATAGGGGGAGTCTATTCTCTCCTTACACCATGTGGGGTCCTGAAAATTAAACTCAGCTTCTGGGGCAAGGTGGCACATGCCTTCCCCTGAACCATCTCAAGGGGCCCCATCTGGTTTTCTTTTTCAGTTATTTTGTTTTTAAGATTTGTATTGTGTATGCATGTATATCTATGTACGAGTATATGAACATGAATGCAGTTGCCCAAAAAAGCCAGAAGAGAGCATCAAATTTCCTAGAGCTTAGTACAGGTATTTGAGCCACTAGACTGACATGGTGCTGGAAACTCAGATCCTCTGAAAAAGCCATAGACTCTTAATTGCTGAGCCACCTCTGCAGCTGCCCTATCTGGTTTTCTAAAGTTTGAAAGCAGTTCTGAAGCTGGGACTGTACATCAATTGGTAGAATGTTTGCCTAACATACACAAAGCCCTGGACTTGATCCCCAGCATGACATAAATCAAGTATTATGGAACACACCTGTAAACCAGGCCCTCTGGAGGTAGAGGCAGGCAGAGGTAGAGGCAGGAGGATCAGAAGTACAAAGTCAACTCAACTACACAGAAAGTTGAAGTCCATTGTGGGCTACAGGAGACCCTGTCTCAAAAAATAAGTGAGTAAATCTGAGAGCTAATGTAGCTCAGTGGCAGAATGCACATTCTGCATATATGAGGACCTGGATTTAATCCACAGGTCATCCAAACAAAAACGTATACTAACTCCAGAGGCAAGGTCTTAACATCTTCAATTCAAATACCTTTAATTCCCTCTCGGAGGTGGATCACAGGCATCACCTGCACTTTCTATAAGCCCCGAACGGCTAATGTCTTGGCTAGTAGTATGCACATGCTCACCACTCCAGGCTTCTTCAGCCTCAGAGGAACATGAATAATTGGTTCTCCACGGGCAAGAGTTTAAACAGCAGCGTACTACATTACAAAGAGACTAAGAACAGTTTTATTGCTTTACAAGCCAGCAACGAACACAACTAATTATCAACACGACATTTCTGAACTCTCATATGGAATCACAACACCAGAACGTACTTCTTCACTCCTGCAATTTCATTGCAGGTGTTAAAACTGAAGTTCAACAGTTCGGTACAGTGGCAGTGACCTAGAGCCCCAGCTCCTTGGCAGGCTGAGGCAAGAGGAGGGCTTGAGCCCGGGAGGTTGAGCCCAGCCTAGACAACCCTGCAGGCGGGACACCACACCCTCTGTCTCTAAAGGGAAAATCTGAAACTTTTGGCAAGAGCTTTAATGCTGTCCAGCAGAACTCACACTTAAGCAACAAAGCAAGGACCTGTGGAACCTCCAGTCTCTAACTGACTGTGTAGCTGGAAAGCCGTCTACTCAGTCCAGGTTGTGTTATCACTAGCATTTTAAACAACCTTCTTAGACACTCAAGAGCCTATACCTGTACTCAGGAAATGGAAACAAAGGTGTGAGTTCCAGGCCAGCCTGGGCTGTTAACAAAACCCTGTCTCAAAGGCAAACTAACAAAATTAGTCTAATACCTTATTCTAATCCTGCAAAAAGATTAGAAAGCTGTCTACATGTCCAACAATATATAGCAATCACAGCTCATCCTTACTTCTTCCATCATGATTGGAAACTAAGAGTCTGCCTCACCCCATCCTGCTGCAGAATGAGGGGTTGAACCCAAGGCCTCAAACATGCTAGGAAAACACTGTCACTGAAACCTAACGCTAGCCTCTTGGGTTGGTTTTTGCCACAGGGTCTCTTTCTGCCAGGGTACCCTCAAAACCTTGAACTTGCCATCCTCCTGCCTCAGCCTCCCTGAGTACCTGGGAGTACAGGCCTGCACTTTCAGGCCCCACTTTACAGTCAGTCTTTGGCCATGGCCTGATAAAAGCCAATGTCAAATATCCCACTGGACAAACACAAAGCCCAAATTGCTATCAAGCAAAAGAGGGTGACATTCCTAAATACTTCCTATTAAACGGGAAATGCCAGTAGCTTCTTTTCTCGAGGGTGCAAAAACTGAGCTATTTTTGGTTTGTTGGCCTTTTGCAGTTTTTTTGAAGTCCTAAGGATGGAATCAGTGCATCACACCTGCCAAACAAGTCTACCACTGAGCTACATCACCAGCTGTGACTTTAATAATTTCAGTTCTGCGCCAAGAATGGCCAGATATCCATTCTTATGCTGTCTGCACAGAAGAGGGATGGAGGAGCCCACAAAGTGTACCCTGACTACCCTGAACTGTACATTAAAATGTACTGATAGCATCAAAACCTGACTTTCTTTTTTTCTTTAATTTTTTTTTTTTTTTTTTTTTTTTTTTTTTTTTTTTTGAGACAGAGTTTTTCTGCGTGTAGCCTTGGCTGTCCTGGACTTGCTTTGTAGACTAGGCTGGCCTGAAATTCACAAGAGATCTGCCTGCCTCCCCCTCCCAAGTGCTGGAATTAAAGGTGTGTACCACCACCACCTGGCTACATGGATTTTTTTTAAAGCCAAGTTTTACTTTCTTCTACAGCAAATGGCACTGTTTTCTCCAAGAACACTTTCCTCAGGTACCAATAATGAATGAAAGCATGAGGATGAGGTCTAACTGGCGGCTAGGAACTGGTCTTATTTGTGAATACAGCACATGGGTGTTAGACCAAGTCAGGTGTGAGGACTCTAACTGCAACAGCAGGCAAGATATAAGGCGACCCCAGAAAAAAGGTGCTCTACCCCGACAGAAGACATCACCATAACCCTAACAGAAGAGCTTTCTAGCCTGACCTTGCTGGTTCAGGCTGTACACTTTCATCCGCTATATTTTGATGGCAGTGAGAGAGTCAGAGCCTCTAATTTTCTTCGCAAAAAAAAAAAAAAAATCAACTAATTTACAAGGCTTAAAATAAAAAGGGGAAAATAAAGTCCCCTTGCTTGTCAACCATTCTCCTTAAGTTCTATTCTCATACTGTATCCAGGCTACAACTGGGAATGAAGGATTAATTTGGACCTAGAAAACATCATGGCTCACTTCTGGGAGAATCACAAACAAGACAACAAACCTGTCAATCAATACATGAACAGTCAGGTAAGCAAAAAGGACTTTTACCAAGAGACCAACATTTACACTGTTGACAAATCAGTAATACAATGAAGTACACAGCAATTTCACTGAAACTTCAACAAAGAAAAAATTCCATCCATGGAAAGGTTTTTTTTTTTTTAAGATCCAAAAAGTTATTTCAATTCTGATACACCATACAGCTGGTTAGGAAAATAAAGCGCAGTGTTTAGCAACTAGTGTGCTAACTACAGGAAGAGGCACTGTGCTAGCCCTCCCTGGCAACTGCCAAGCCAGCAAGGCCAGCTGCAGGGAGAAGCTCCTATTTTTCACCACAAGCCGCTGCTGTCTCCTTATTGAAGCCACGGATAGAAAGATCATAGACCACCTCCTCTACTTTCTTCACGTCGTACTTCAAGCCATCGTAGCGCTTCCTCAAGGAGTCGTTTTTCAGATTGAGAAGGCGAAAACCTGAATCCAGCTCATTGATGAAAGTAGAGATGTGAAGGGGCCGCGAGTAGTCTCCAGCAGTCACACTGTTGACAGACAGCCTCGACTGCACAAAGAGAAAGAAACCGGCACATTACTATGTGGTTTCTCCCTCGGCACCTCCCCCACAGACACCTACACTAATCTCCTGTACTCAAGGTACTGGCGAACCCCACTAGAACTGAGACAATGTCTGTTACAAGTGCTAGATGTAATTAGCATCTTCTAAAATCTCTAATGCCTTTAGCTGGTATTGTGTTACGTTCAAGTAAGCAAATGTCATCTTCACAGCTCAGCAGCTACTGTACAGAACAGAAAAATGTCATGACAATTACAGAGACTGTTATCTTTTCAAACCTAGGCCAAATGATCACCTACAATTAGTAACACAAACAGGGTAAGAAGCCAAAATTAAATCCGTTCAATCACCTTGAAGGACAGGTACAATTTCAAACCCAACTGGATATCTCCATCCCCGTGAAGCCTATCTACTCTCTCTGTCAGGCTTTCCTGAGCCAGTGTTCAGTACATTCCAACACACACAGTACATTCCATTCACCCCAGCCACTAACCGTGCTGCAGCGCTTGTATTAAAGCTTGCTGATCAGTTGCCTCCAAAAAGTCTGAGTTGGTGATAGAAGTTATCAATGGGCTTCAGTATCACCTCTCCCTGTTTCCATATTGAGAATGTCTCAAATTTTCACTGACCCATTCCACATACACCCTGAGAGATACCAAATCTGGCCCTATGCTAACAGCCACAACAAAGGCTGCTTTGTTTTGTTCATTTTTACAATGCTGTGAATGGAACCTAGGCATTCTATATGTTAGGCAAGTATTTGACCACAAAGCCACACCCCAGCCCCCAGAGAATGCTAAACAGAAACTGATGAAAATGTAGTTCAGTGGCTATATATAATGCTAGTGCCCAGCACACAGGAAGCCCTGGGTTCCATCCCTGGTACCATATGAACCAAGTATGGTGGCTAATGCCTGCAATCACAGCTCCTGGGAGGTGGACCAGGAATTCCTTGGCTACAAAGGAAGTCTGAGATCCACCTGGGTATATGAGACCCTGTCTCAAAAGTTATTATATACAGTACTTCAAACACACATCCTTGGATGGGCATGGTAGTGCCTACCCTTAATACCAGTACTCAGGAGGCAGAGGCAGGCATGAATTCTATGATCTAAACAGTGAGTTCAAAGACAGTGAGATAGTCTTAAACAAAAACAAAAACAAAAAACAAACAAACAAACAAAACCCTTAACAGGACTGGTTATTAACAGGAGTGGAATATCTCTATTCCTCCTCCTACTGGTTGTAAGAACCATGAATTGCCAGACCTAAGACCTGAAAGATAGAAGGATCCAAGCCAAAGCTCAAATGAATCATCAAACCAGCCATCTGCTCCTTTTCCAACTCTGGGGACATGAAACAGAGTCTCACTCTGTAGTCCAAGCTGGCCTCCAACACCCAAAAATCACTCTGACTGATCCTTCCAAGTCCTAGGATTACAAGCCTAGCTTGGGGTAGTTTCTCAAAAACACATAAAGTGGGACTAATGAGACAGCTCAGTGAGCATAGGCAAGTGCCACGAAAGCCTAGTAACCCGAGTTCCATCCCAAGAATCCATGCAGACAGAAGAGACTCCACCAAGTTGTCCTCCATCTCAACACAATGCCATGCACTCAACACACCTACACTCATATCTACATTACACACAAACACAGTAACAGCAAATCAAGAACAATGGGCTAGAGAGATGGGTCAGCAGTTAAGAGCCATCTACTTTCAGAAGGACCTGAGTTCAATTCCCAGCACCCACATGATGGGTCAGAACTGTCTATAACTTCAGTTCCAGGGATATGACAACCTCTCCTGGCCTTTTGGCATGCAGTGCAGAAATATCCATGCAGGCAATACACCTATACACATAAAATAAGACACATTTAAAAATATTTCTAACTCTGGAGGCTATGCAGGCTCTGTCAAGTCTGCTCTTGACATATTTGTTTTGTCTACAAAATTATTTTTAAAGAACAATTTAGAGAATAAGGATAAAAAATTATGCATTTAGCAGCTGAAGTGGTAGCATACTCTTGGAATCCTGTATCCAGGAGGCTAAGGAGAATCACAAGTTCCAGGGTAGCCGGGGCTACATAAGACCCAGTCTTAAAAAAAAAAATCAAAGTAACCCAGTCACTGCTGTCTCACAAGAACAAGTTAGGCCCTACCGGATGGCTCAGTAGGCAAAAGTGGCTGCCACCAAGGCTAAAGACCTAAGTTCCGTATCTCCAGGACCCACATAGAGGAACAAGAAAACCTACAAGTTGTACTATGATCTCCATGTACACTCATGGCACATGAAAGCACGTGTGCATGTGCATGCGCACATGTACACACACCCACTAAATACAACTCTTTCATCCAAAATAAGATGGCCAGCACAAGGAATAACTAGGAGATTGTCCTCTGGCCTCCAGATGTACACCTGCTCCCAAGACTACCCCAGATATACACACACTCCTTACCAGCTCACTGGCAAGAATTAAAACTCCTGAGAGATAATCTTCCACATCCAGATGAAATCCTTTCTCCCGATCTGGTTCAACTAAAAAAAAATAAATAAATCAGAATAAAGGACAGTCATGATATGAAGGCAATTTAAGCTAAAGAATATACACAAATACACAAGTGTACACAAATGAAAAACCTTTTCTAACTTATTAGGGTGTTCCCAACCTTTACTACTCTGCAGATGGTACTAACACTCTTCATGCTTGCCACCAAGCCTGACAACCTCAGTTCAATGCTGGCAACTGACTGACATGATGGAAGGGGACCCAACACCCAAGCTGTCCTCTAACCTCCACATGGGCGTCACTCATCCCATGCACCCACACAAACAAGTAAAAGCAGACAGTGCCTAAGGAAGAAAACTCAAGAGTTGTCTCTGACCACACACACACACACACACCCCAGCATGAACACATATTCACAAACAAATAAAACATCCCCCATACACCAAAAACTAAGCTCATGTTCATGATCGTTCAGATCACACTGAGACACTTACTGCCGAGAATCTCTGTAACCGCCTCTCGAGTCACCAGGGTCTCTGTTTCCAAATACACTACGAAGGCCGCCAGGAAGACCAGGCGCTGGAGCACAAACCGCCAGTGCTCATGAAACCTGCAGCAAAGGTCAGCAGGTGCCTGGTTAAGGACTGCTATAAGGACACACTCAATATGGCTCATCAGCTCAGAAATGGGGGAGGAGAGCAGAGAGAACAAACTACAAATGACAAGAGCAAGTGTCCTTATGAAATTTAATCACCTACCTGTTAAAAATTAATCTTCATCTTCCCCCTACACTGAAGATTGAACACAACGCAACTGTGTATCAACCTCAACATACAACTTTTTTTTTTTTTTTTTTTTTGAGACAAGAGTTTCTCTGTATAACAGTCCTGACTGTCCTGGAATTCACTTTGTAGACCAGGCTGGCCTTGAACTCACAAAGATACACCTGCCTCTGCTTCCCAAGTGCTGGGATTTAAGGTCATAAGCCACCACCACCTGGCTACAATTTATTCCTATACCTAATCCTAATTCACTAAATTATCACACAACCAAAAAGGAGTTTGTGTGCATGTGTGGTGGCACAAATGTAATCCCAGCATTGAGGAGGCCTCAAATCACTGTAGTCCAGAGGTTCAAAACCAGTTAGAAACACAGCAAGACCTGCCTCCCAGAATTCCTCAACCTTGAGTACTTGTACCATGCCTCCTGATTTTGTTTCTTCGGGGGGCTAGAGGAGGGAGTCTTTTGTTTTTCAAAATGTGATATCACTACATAGCCTTGGTAATCCTCCTACCTCTGCCTCTGAAGTAGTGAGATTATTGGCATGTGCCACCATGGATGGCTTCTGATTTTCCAATATGGCAGCAAATTCAAATTATATTCCTCATTGGACATGGTAACACATAGCTGGGATGCCAGCACTCAGGAGGCTAAGGCAGGAGGCTCTCATGTTGAGAATGATCCAGACTACAGTGCAAAACTCTTGATTCAACAGATAGTCATACAGACAGAGCTGATCATTGTTGCACATACTTGTAATCTCAGTACTTGAGTGACCAAGGCAGAAAAATCACTAATAATTCAAGGCCAGCTCTTGGTCTACACAGCAAATTCCAGACAGAAGTACCTTGTCTTTTAAAAAAAAGTTTCTCAATAGAAGGACAAGGGTCAAGAAAACTAGCCACAGGACAGACTGTAAGTGACCTCCAGATACAGACAGTCTAACAGTCCTGCCAGCTCTACTGCTCTGGACTCTTTGCTCATTGCCTTACCATGGTAATCAGCAACAGCTTGTTTTTTTCTGCTTGTTCTGAGACAGGATCTTATTAGCTGGCCTAGAATTCACTGATACAGCCAAGAATGTCCTTAAACTACTGATCCTCCTGCAAATGCTGGGATTAGAAGGTGAGCCACTACACCCATCCTAAGCATTGTTTTTACATTTAAAGGGTTGCTAAGAATAAAATCCAAATAAGACTATGTGACAGAATATAACTTGCAGAATCTAAAATGTAGGCTAGCATATTGGATTCAAAAACAAATAAATTAATCCTTTACTCTCACCAGTGGCTTCCCAATCCACATCCTATACACATACCCATCCTATTTATTAACTATATACATCTTAAAAAAAAAAATCTTTGGGGGCTGGAGAGATGGTTAGTGGTTAACAGCACTAACTGCCTTCCAAAGGAGCCACGTTTAAATCCCAGCACCCATACAACTGTCTGTAACTTCAAGAATGGACACCCACATACAGATATAGATGTAGAAAAAACATCAATGTACATAAAATAAAAATAAATAAATAAAATTTTTAAAAATCTTAATAAAAAAGAAAATCAGATATTTCTTGATTCTTTTTTTTTATTTTTTTTCGTATTTTATTTTTTTCTTATCAGTTACATTTTATTAACTATGTACCCCAGCCATGTCCTGATCCCTCATTCCCTCCCAGTCCCTCCCTCCCTCCCTCCCTCCTTATTTCTTGATTCTTATGTATCATAGTTCACAAACACAGAAACATAGTTGTTCTCAGTTTTGTTTTTTTTTTTTTTTTTTTTTTTAAGACAGCGTTTCTCTGTGTAGCCTTGGTTGTCCTGGACTCACCTTGTAGACCACATTGGCCTTGAACTCAGAGATCTGCCTACCTGAGTACTGGGACTAAAAGCATGCACCACCACAACTAGCTGGTTGTTCTCAGTTTAATGTCTAAAAGAATCAAAATCATTTTCCAAACTACATTTTATAATCACAATTAACAATATTTCTTCCCTACTGGTATACAAATAGTATAATCTTAAAATTAAGGACATTGTACACTCAACACTATATAACAATTTTGTTCACTATGAGGAAAGTGTAACGGACATTTCATACAATAAAATGACATAGATATACTAGGTGTCTGTTTAAAACGTTCAAAATCAAAGCAAAGATCTGGCTGTGTAGAAACCAAGTGCCCTTTCAATAGGGTCAAGTATACATATGCATGCAATCAGTGAAAGAAGAGGCCATGAATTTGAAGAAGAGGGGTTTATGATGGCTTGGAGGAAAGAAAGTGAAAGGAAATGTTACAATCTCAAAAACAGTTTCTTTAAGTAACGGTTTCCAGCTGGGCACAGTGGCACATGCCTGTAATCCCAGTACTCAGGGAGGCAGAGGCCAGCCTGGTCTACAAAGCAAGTCCAGGACAGCCAGGGCTACACAGAGAAACCCTGTCTCAAACCGCTCCCAAACACTGTTCAAAAGTAAACAGAAATATTAAGATACTAGTTTCACTGCCCCCTTTATCAGTGTGATTCTTTTTTGTTCCTTCTACAGAGACTTTTACCCACTCATAAGTGATCATTCAATTCCTATTTTTCTCCTGCATTTCTTTAAACAAAAGCATAATTTCATACATAATTTCATAAGATAGTGCTGTTTTTCGCACAAACCTGTAATACTGTTCAGCAGGAAACTTGGTCTTCAGGGACGTTAGATGTGTTTTTACCGTACCGAAATGTTCACGAGCTTTCAAGCACCTCTTTGGAACTGGTCATAAAGATAGCAATATTTAATAATGAAAAACTTAACATACTGCAAATACAGTTCTTGCTTAATAACCCATGTAGTGTACCTGAACTTAAAAATCAGAGACTGGTATTCCTCAGCTGTTATTCCTATCAGTCCTCAGACCCCTAGACTGCTTCTAGACCTCTTCTAGACTGTTTCTACCTCCCATGTGGTCAACAAAATGCTTTTACCGATTCTTCTCAGCTTGATAAACTCCATATCACTACATAAATGACTTGCCTCAGATATCTATAAAGCTGTTTTAAGACTGTATCAAAAAACAACTTCAGCTCTTAGCTATGCTGACTACATCTTACAACAAAAGTTTCCATGTCTAACTTAACATAGTAGAATCTCAACAAAGGGCTGACTATAAACATGAATTTTAGAATGTTTTATACGTGTCACCTCATACCTACAGGTGTATATTAAAAGGTCTTCATCATTAGAAGTGTACATTAAAGCACAAACACAAAGACACAAAGATGAGGTTTAGATGTTTAGATGAGAGGTACACAATTGAGCACCAGCCTAAGCAACAAAGACTCACATCACAAACACACATACACCATACACACACCCCACACTTGCAGACTTACCCCATACATATAGATAGATAGATAGATAGATAGATAGATAGATAGATAGATAGATAG